CCAAAGCCTGCCCAAGTATAGAACATACTATGGTGTACAATACAATGTTGTATATAATATTCTACTATAGTATATATTGTCTGCCCAGGCGCTAGATGCTGTTCGCTTTGCCGCCAAAGCCAAAGGGGGTCCGCTCACGCAGGGCACCGGCGGCCTAATGAAGCAGGCTCGGGCGCGTAAAACACGGACAGATAGATACATATACTGTGGGGCTACAGCGGGATGCACGACTTATTCAGACTGCTGCAGAAATCGCTCGGTCGTTCAAGCATCTTGCCGTCATTGCTAGCTTCAAGTGCAACTGGCACCTATGCCGTGAACTTACCTGGGCTTCAAGGGTGTGGGTTTGGGGTCTAGGGCTACTTGTAGTGGTTTGGTGTAGCGCGTGAACGATCTTGGCAACCTCTGCAAGCCGGCTTGTGACAAGTTCAGCTGTGAGTTGTTTCGGAGAGTTGCAACGCCCCAATAGTTTTGAGGTGCACGCGTAAAATTAGACCTTGACCGACGTTAGGAAGCTGTAGAGCCAATAACCCTTCCTGTGCGATGAAGCTCACTGCGCCCAAGGGGACGCTACATTGTAAAGGGTTCGCCGAAGCGGTCTTCCCAAAGAGTTTTGCGCGTTCTCACTTTGTGGTTTTCAATCCCGGGGCAGGTTGACAAGGCCTCAGCAGAGGCGGCGGACGCTCTCATTACTCTCAGTCAGGCAGGGCTGAGAGGTGCTGAGAGTATATTTGAGCCCTAGAGCCGGCAGATTTGAGGATGAGTGATGAACGAGAGCAAGCCCGCTTTATAGCGCGGAAGGGAGGCAACCCATCGAGCTGGGTGTCGGATTCTGTCACAATACACCATCTTGTTCTTCTGTGGTTTTGCTTGGAGGTCTGGCTAAACATTGTGAGGGTCTGCCCCCGTCCCAGTCTCTAGCATAACCTTGTGCATTTTTCCCTCTTCTGCGAAGGCAAAAGTAGAAGCGCAAGAGGCTGCGATGCGAGTTGGAAAGGCACGTGCAGTTTCGGAGGACTTTGAGGCTTGCCAGTGGCTGGCATTAGCGTCTGCAGATGAATGGGTTTGCCTCTCTGCGCGTGCTTTCACAAGCTTTAGGCACACTGGTAGCAGCCCTCCCGTCTTGACCAAAATCATTGTCACAGCTTTTGCAGCTGGTTAGCAGTACGTCCATTGCAATGTTGATCCTTGCGTTTGCTCAGCATGAGCATTGTCGTGTCCAGCACTAAGAAGCAGAGAGGATCGCCAAGATTACCGAGCCAGATGACCGGACCTTAGTCCAAGAAGGCTTCAACACTGTCACTACCAGTCGAGCAGCCAATGAAGCAGCCGGCGTACCAAGCGTCGTAAGCAAAGCATTGTTTGTAACAATGGCAGCAAAGCTCAGTAGCAGTGCAAATGATTCGGAACTTCGAACCGTTCCGATCGCACATGACTTGAATTTCCGAAGACGGACAGGGCTTGGGCAAGACTTGGCAAGCAAAGCTCGATGAGCTCATGGTGCCAAGCTCAGAAGCCCATGGCTGGCGCTGCCATCCCGAATTAGCGTGGACCCGCCGGGAGGCTTTATGGCCAGGAAGCCTGGAAGGGCATATAAAGGAATTCGTCTGAACATGCTTTACAAGCTTGCCGAGACAATCCTGGCCTGGCTTCTGTTTGTAGGAGATGCCACTACGCATAGTAGGCTTCTTACGAAGAGGTGTTAAGGCTTCTGTGCCAGGGTTTCTTGTGAATGCTATGGTGGGTCCTGTTTATGGAATATGCTTCAGGTATCTTCGGGGCTTCAGTCTTGTCCCCACACTCCTCGCGAGCGAGAACTCAGGTTGCCCACAAAGAAGTCCCCGACGTCGTCGCTGAACTGCGCAGACTGGATCCAAGCAAGGCAGACATCCACGGGTACATGCAGAATATCGGTTGTAGAGCTTTGAGGTCAGTAGCCTGAATGATTCGGGCCTGTCCGAACCCGCAACTATACTTCGCCACAGATCCATTTCGTACACCCTGTCGCTCCCGGAAGCCGAAACCAACCCGGATTAAGGGTTGAGGCGGTTGAGGGTTGGGAGCATTGAAGCACGTCCTGCAGTGCTTGCAATCTGTAGGCCAAAGGATCCAAGAGCTCGAGCAAGAAGAGCTGACGCGTCTGTGGTCTCCCGAATTTCTGCCGGTCTGTGTCTATGATTGGGTTGTTGCATGCTATAAACAACCTGCGCACGAAGATGTTGTACTGAGGCAGAAAGCAGTGAAGTGCATCAGCAGAGGTTTAGGTGGTCTCCGCCGAACGAGCCAAGCGTGATGTGCTTTGACAAAGAACCTCAGACTCATCCGGTTCGCTGACGTCTTGAAAGCAGGCTTGAGCAATTCAGACGGCGCGGCCGTAAACCGCCCAAGCTCTAGAAGATTTGGGTCCATCCAGATTCATGTTGGGCTTTGGTCCGAAGGAGTGCGTTTTAAACTTCATCTGAAGCTCCCTTGATTTATTCCTTGCTGAGCCAAACTCATCGCGTTGGTGCAAGGTGCAGTCAGAACAAGTCAGTCCACCAATGCAGGGACAAGCAATCATTACTCAGAAGGTCGATGACATAGTCACAGCTTCAAGCAGGCATAATGCTGGATGCTGGAAGTTGACGTGTGTTCATACCAGTTACTGTTCTCTGGTCAGTTTTCGTCCGCGTAGGTTAGCAATAGCACCAGCATACAATTCGTCGTCGTTGTCATGGCTACCCCAGCAGCGCTGATAGCAGTAGAAGCAGGCGCAGTAGCAGTGCTGTTGCAGTGACACTAGCCTTGGCAGTAGCCGTAGGAGTGGAGGAGCAGGAGTAGAGCAGGAGGAGTAGGAGTAGTTATAGGGGCAGCTGCAGGAGCAGTAGAAAAGTTGGAATAATGGTAATGGTGGTTGTGGTAGTCGTCGCAGTCGTAGTCGTAGTTGTGTCGTGGTCCTGGTGGTCGTGGTGGTGGTATTGGTGGCGGCGGCGGTGGATGGCAGTAGAACCAGTAGTACCAGTAATAGTTGCACAGTAGTAGTAGCGGCAGTAGCAGTAGCAGAAGCATCAGCACAAATCACTAGCAGTAGCAGCAGCATCAGCATCAGCAGCAGCAGCAGCAGGAGAAGGAGGAGTAGGAGAAGGAGTAGAAGGAGTAGTAGTAGTCGGAGCCGCGGTCGTGCTAGTGCTAGTGGTACTAGTAGTACTAGTAGTAGTAGTAGTAGTCGTCGTCCTAGTAGTCGTAGTACTAGTGGTAGTCGCAGTCGCAGTCGCAGTGGCAGTGGCAGTCGCAGCAGTAGTAGTAGTAGTAGTAGTAATAGTAGTAGTAGTAGTAGTAGTAGTAGTGGTAGTAGTCGTCGTCGTCGTAGTAGTAGTAGTGGCAGTAGTAGTAATCGTAGTAGTAGTAGTAGCAGTAGTAGTAGTGGTAGTAGTCGTCGTCGTCGTAGTAGTAGTAGTAGTGGCAGTAGTAGTAATCGTAGTAGTAGTAGTAGTAGCAGTAGCAGTAGCAGTAGCAGTAGCAGTAGCAGTAGTAGTAGTAGTAGTCGTCGTCGTAGTAGTCGTAGTACTAGTGGTAGTCGCAGTCGCAGTGGCGGTGAGAGTGGCAGTCGCAGCAGTAGTAGTAGTAGTAGTAGTAGTAGTAGTAGTAGTAGTAGTGGTAGTAGTCGTCGTCGTCGTAGTAGTAGTAGTAGTGGCAGTAGTAGTAATCGTAGTAGTAGTAGTAGTAGTAGTAGTGGTAGTAGTAGTAGTAGTAGTAGTAGTAGTAGTAGTGGTAGTGGTAGTGGTAGTGGTAGTAGTGGTAGTAGTGGTGGTAGTAGTAGTAGTAGTAGTAGAAGTATAGTAGTAGTAGTAATATTAGCAGTAGTAGAAGCGGTTGTAGTAGCGGTAGTAGTAGTAGTAGTAGGAGCAGTGGCAGTAGCAGTAGCAGTAGTAGTAGTAGTAGTAGTAGTAGTAGTAGTAGTAGTAGTAGTAGTAGTAGTAGTAGTAGTAGTAGTAGTGGTACTAGTAGTAGTAGTAGTAGTAGTAGTAGTAGTAGTAGTAGTAGTAGTAGTAGTAGTAGTAGTAGTAGTAGTAGTAGTAGTAGTAGTAGTAGTAGTAGTAGTAGTAGTAGTAGTAGTAGTAGTAGTAGTAGTAGTAGTAGTAGTAGTAGTAGTAGTAGTAGTAGTAGTAGTAGTAGTAGTAGTAGTAGTAGTAGTAGTAGTAGTAGTATTAGTAGTAGTAGTAGTAGTAGTAGTAGTAGTAGTAGTAGGAGCGGGAGCGGGAGCGGGAGCGGGAGCGGGAGCGGGAGCGGGAGCGGTAGCGGTAGCGGTAGCGGTAGCGGTAGCGGTAGCGGTAGCGGTAGCCGTAGCCGTAGCCGTAGCCGTAGCCGTAGCCGTAGCGGTAGCGGTAGCGGTAGCGGTAGCGGTAGCGGTAGCGGTAGCGGTAGCGGTAGCGGTAGCGGTAGCGGTAGCGGTAGCGGTAGCGGTAGTGGTAGTGGTAGTGGTAGTGGTGGTAGTAGTACCAGCAGCAGTAGTGGCAGTGGCAGTGGTAGTGGTCGTGGTAGTGGTAGTGGTAGGGGTTGTGGTAGTGGTAGTAGCAGTAGTAGTAGTGCAGAAGTGGTAGTCGTACTGGTGGTAGTGGTCGTGGTAGTGGTGCTATCACGTAGCAGCAGCAGCAGTAGCGCCGTCGTGGTCCAGCTGAAAGTCGTGTAAAATGGCACTGATTTCGCCTTCACTTTCGAGCGGACGCAGGCTTGTGCAATCCTGTGCAGTGCGTTTAGGGAGACTGGCAGGGTGGGTGCTGCGTGGCGGGGACGACCGTACTGCAAGGTTCGCATGTGCTCCGATCCCACCGGTCGCTGGATGCTCAAGCAGTACACGTTCATGCACCATAAAGACTCAGAGTACCATCGGTCCATGGTTGATATGGCTGATATGGATCAGACAGTTCGGACTGTTCGGGCTCGAAGTTCGATGTTTCTTGGCATTCCAAGGTGTGTGTGAGTGTGTGTTTGTTTAGCTGTAGCTAGCTGGCAGTTGCTCGATGACCCATTCACTGGATGATGCGGTGGAAGGTCTTCATGGGACTTTGAGTGCGGATGATGCGGTAGAAGTTCCTCGTTCGTCGCCAAGTGCTCTCTCATTCAAGTGCGAGGAGGATGCTTGGCCCGAAGCGCTGCATTCTTCTTCTTCATCTCATCCTGGAGCGGCTTTTTCGGGATCTGGTACCGCAGCCATCATGTCCACACCTCCATGGCAGACATTGATGACGGCACAGCATGACGAAGTCATGAAAGTGCTGCTGCGGCAAGAGGCGCCTAGGCTCTTAAACCCGAACACGGACGAAGCCGAGCTTCAGACTTTCCCCCACCCGGAGCCTCAGACAAGTAGAAAAGGGGGGCGATTTAAGACCCATCATCGTGCCAAGCCACATCCGAGGTTTTGCTTCAAGTCGTCGCTTCGAAATCCTCCAAGCCTGGCTTCCCTCTGGGAGGTGCTGACTGGGTCGGACGGGTGATGTCCAACGAGACCCGGAAAGCACCTCCTTCGGCGAGGACCTCTTCCTCAAAAGAGGCTGGCTCGGATGGCGAGGATGCATCGAGCATGCCCAGCACCAGCAGCTTATACCCCCACAAGAGTAGCTCCCCGTCGCCCTACGTGGATATCGAGGAACTGCCCAAGAGAAAGAAACCCAAATTCTTTCAGAGCTTCTCGCTCTTTGACATGGGACTGCGCCAAGCAGCCGCCCAGGCGGACAGCACGCGACACCGCAGGAAATTTGCATCCATCAAGCTTGCAGGCAAAGAGAGCGAATCCAGTAACACCAGTGTTCACCGATATCGCAGACGGCTGGCTGAACTTGTTTCCAGCAATGTCTTCGACATATTCTTTGGGATCGTTGTACTAGTCAATGCCGTCTTTATTGGTTTCGAGACGAGGGAAGCCATCGCAGATCCAAATAACCCATCTACCGTGGTTCTCGTCTCACACTTTGTGTTTCTGGTACTCTTCACTGCAGAGCTCCTCATGCGTCTCTGTGCTTTTGGCCTTTCAATCTATTGCGACGGCGATGCATGTTGGTGTATCTTGGACACCTTCATCGTCATCACCTCACTTTTCCAGCTAGTCGACAACGTGATATTTCTCGCAGGCGACGCTAGGCCCTAACCTGTTCTTCCAGCATTGCTTTTGTTTTAGGAGAGAGTGAGACCACGAGCTGCAAAAGCGTCAGCTCAGTGGAAGTTTCCGACCAAGGCAGAGCCGGAGGACAACGGAGCGGGTCCTGTGCAGATCATCAAAGCTTTCAGACTACTTCGAGTGGCCCGGATTGCGAAGGCTGTGCGTTTGATGAAGATCTTTCGCTTCGTGACAGCGCTCAGAACTCTTGTGACGTCAATCTTTCACACGTTGAAATCCCTCTTTTGGGCCCTCATGCTTCTCTTTCTCATCGTGTACGTATTCGGCATTCTTTTCTCCCTGGCCGTCAATGATCACGTCAATGCTGGGGGCGATCTGGTGTTGAACGGTGAAGACCTGGAGGTCGGAGGGTCTAAATCTGTTTGCCATGCAGCGGTTGTTCAAGAGTGTGGTTCCTAAGGATCCTGACTTCAAGCTAGCGCGCCACTGTGTTTCCTTTTTCTACCATATGATGTAAAATGACCCCCATGCATACATTGTCTTGTTGCTAGTCATCCAGCGTACAAGTCAGATGTTTGCTGATTCAGCTTGGTCGAGCTTGACAGGGTTAATCTGGACACATTCAACGGCTGTTGATGGTGATGGAGATGATCCACGGTGATGATGATGACGACTGTTGGTGATGACGATAAGGGTGATGGTGGCAATGAAAGACAGTGGTGACGATTGCGATGTTAATGCTGAAGATGACAACATGTTTATCTTGATGGTGAGGGTGAGGGTGAAGATGATGAGAATTATGATGAGAATGATGATGATGATGAGAATGATGGGAATGATGTTTCTTTGGTGACGAGCATGAGCTGATACGGTTTCTGATACTTGGTCGCCCGTACACAATGTGCAGCTGAAGATAATATGAATCACGAGCTCGCCGCGGGGACAGGCCTCGCGGTCGCGCTGCTGACGATGACGATGATTCTAGTGCTATGATGATGGTGACGATGAATGATGGAGATGATTGATAATGATGGCCTCACCGCGTAGCGAACGGGAGGAGTTCACTGTTGATGAAGGTAACCACAAATCACTGATGAAATCTGTACCCGGATAGACAGATGTACAGTGCAGGAACATCTCAGCTCCCTTGAAAACGATTTCACGGCAGCCCAAGGGTGTG